TGTGTGTGTGTGTGTGTGTGTGAGAGAGAGAGAGAGAGAGAGAGAGAGAGAGAGAGAGGGAGGGAGGGAGAGAGAGAGAGAGAGAGAGGGAGAGAGAGAGTGTTTTAAAGTTTCTTGGTATCCTGAATCAGAATGTAAATGACTTTTTTAAAAAAGGAACCAAAGAAATCCTACTTGTCTGAAGGTGCTGTCCTAATTTTGTAACACATTTGCGCTGTTTAAGCATTTGTCTGAAGCTATGATGCAACAAGCATAGAGCTAAACTGGGACATCTGTTAAAGGTTGGAAAGGGGCTTCTACACATGCAGGTGAAGATACTTGGAAGCCGCTGTGTGATCTGGAACTCTGCCTTATCCAGGTGCCTGATCAGGCAAGGCTTCAAAATGTATCGAACAAAGCAAGGCTGGAAGTTCTCTTCAACATCTATCCAACCATGCAAGGTCTAAAAGGGCTTGTAGATCCCCCCACCTCCACATATTTGTCAGTTCTCACATGTTCAGACAAATTACAAAAGCTCTCGCATGTTCTCTTCAGGAAATCTTGGGACATACACCATGCGTCTTTCACTCCTTGAAACATTTTAATATTATTTACATCCAAAGGTTTGTTCTTGTCATCCATTTCCAGAAGAATTTCTCAAAAGGTGGGCAAAGTGCAGATGAGGAGGCCAAGAGAGCAAAACAAATGGCTTTTCTTATCCAAAAGCCACGGAGATAAACAATATATTTCAGTAGATGTTATGACCACATGAAGGTTCAGGCATAGATGTGTCCTAACTTCACAGTTGCTTAATCAGAGTCATAAATCAAAGCAACCTTGCAACTAGTCATCAGTTTATCTACTCCACCCGCTCAGGCGGTTGCTATAACTTGTCCAAGCACTCTTAGCTCATTTTGGCTTTGGCATCAAGGAGACGAAAGAGCAGTAACAGGAAACCTCTATGCCCTCCTGCAGTCAGTGTGCTCTGATGTCAGACTGCTAAAGAGGGGGGGACCTTCTTTTTCAGTTCCGACCCTGTCAAGAGGACTACTTTTGATCACGTCTTGCACATGGATTTAATAACCAACATGTTGTGCCTTCAATATGAATATACAAGAGGCCACCTCACTGTTTGTATTTCTTCTTGGCTAATGTTTGGGAGCTTTTTATTTTGTTTTCCAAAATGTCATCCAGACTGCAATCTGTTTAAACGTGAGAGCTACCATTCTTAGCTGAGGATTGTCATATACTGCAGAACTTCTGTTCTTTATTGTTAAAGTAATTTAAAAGAACAGTTCTCTTACTAGGCAGCTTCACAGATCTGTATCTTTTATATCTCATTTTATGATAATCTTCCACTAATTTGTGTGAAGTCAGCATTAGGTTCATAGCAGCCACATCTGTGTAGCTGGCACAACCATCTTGCCGTTGGTGGTCCGTGAGATGGTTGGTGTAATCGGAGCTCCAAGTGGCTTGGGCAGATATGTTCTGTCTCCAAGCCCAATGTATTGTCCTTCATATGTTTTAGACTACAACTTCCATGATTCCTGACCATTGGCCATACTGACTGGGGCTGATGGGAGGCGTTGGTGTACCAAGTTGCCTGCCCTGCTTTAGAAGCTCTAAAATGTTTTTCTTTGTAAATTAATACACTTTATTTCTCTGGTTTGGTTTATGTGTCATGCTGATTCCAACTGGCAATAATCCATGGCAGGCTGGTGGTTGCCTGAACAACCCACAGTGCATCAGACAGATGGTCAGGCCCACGGTGGGTTGTTCTTTACTCCTTGGTCCTCCCATAGGTATCCTAGCAAAACTGTCAAATATCTGCCAGAAGTGGAGGTTGCACTTGATTCCCACCTTCCTGAGCACCTGGTGTGGGAAAGTCAGGGGCATTATGGCTGTGTGAAGGACACTCAGAATCATGAGGATCTTGCTGTGGGGTGGGGTGGGGTGGGGTGGAATGTTGCCTACCCTTTCTTGCAAGCAAAGAAATTTGCAGCTTTGCTTTGACTTGACAGTTTCCCCTTTGACTGCTAACATGTCATAGCAAAATCAAAACTAAAAACCCTATTTGGACCTCTCTCTGAGTCAATGTCCAGGCTTGGTATCATGGCAGATTCCAGTGTCCAGCGGAAGTATTCCATTTGTTGGATCCACAACACTAATGTACCTCTTCAGTTTTGCAAATATGAATTAAAAAGGACAGCCAATCAGTGAAAGCCCCTTTGGAGGGGGTGTCACTGTCAGTTCAGAGACTGCTATTTTTAACCTCCAAAGGAAAAGAAAAAAGAATGGGGCCAAAAGGAAGCAAGCAGAACAGAACTTGTGTGGGCGCTTGTGTGGCCGTTGTCACTGCTGGTGGCCCAGGCAGGCTTGGCAAAAAGATCAGGGGGTCTTGGCTGCTCTTGACAAGGACTTCACTTGCCACTTCCCTCAAGCCGTGGTGTGACTGGTCACCTGGATTTGGACAACAGAGTGTCACGTTGTGAACTGCCTCTTCAAGAGGATGGCTGGTTGGCAAAACCAAGCCTCCCCACAATTAGCCTGGGCTTGCACAACACGATGACCCAACCTCAGCGCATTGCCCACAGTGGATTGTTGTGTCTTGAAAACCAGGTCCGTTTCGGAGATGATGGTTTATATATGTTGTACAATAAATGTATGACTAGCATAATCCATAACAGCCAAGATCCTGCTAGACAATACGTTCCATAAAAGAGGAATGTATTAAGAGATAAAGCCAAATAAATCTCTTTCCTTAGCTGTCCTTTGGAAGTCATAGACTGGTTTCAAAACAAATAGTGGTAAGTGCTATTAGAAATGGCATGCCAGCTTAAATACATTAGTCGTCCCATGCAACAAATCCATTTATTATTGACTAATGACTGGGGCTGATGGGTCAAATCAAACCCATAGACTTGCCTGTGCCCCTTTAATACACAAAGGGAGCCTTTAGCCCCAGCAAACTGTGCCATTGCTCATTTTTGAAAGGATGGTAAATTGGAAGAAAAATAGCTGCTGCACCCAGACGTATTTCCTGTCCTCACATTTACACCTCAATGGAAGTTGCCATTCGGCTCTGGTTGTTTCTTCTAGCAGACAGGTAAAAAGAGGAGCATCTCCTAGTCTAGGGCAGTGGTGGCGAACCTATGGCACATGTGCCAAAGTGGGCATGCAGAGCCCTCTCTGTCGGCACGCAAGCCAAGTCGCCCCACATCGCCTGAGCACCCGAGCATTGGATAACAGCGCACATGGGGGCCAAGAGCATGCTCAGAAAGAAGTAGTGGTGTCAGGCGATGACGTCGCAAATGGCAAGACATTAGCCGCAACACGTCCAGGCTTTCGTATGGCTGATCAGTGTGCTGCCAAGGATATATATATAGTTCCTGTGCAGAAAGAGCTACTCGAGGACGGCTTTTTCAAAATCGCATTCTCTTCCAAGGAATTTTAGCCCTTATATTAGCATTAGGGGTGTGCATCAGGGTATGGTTGGGGTTAGAAGACCGAGGCGTCCTGGCATGATTTTGATGGTTGGCATGTGCTTAGAATGGGCAGAAATGATGAGTTGAGCAGAAAAAGCTACACAATGAAGGCTTTTTTCAAATCGCCCTACTTTAAATGGACCGTTAGCCCTATGTTAGGGTTAAGGGTGTGCACCAGGGTAGGGTTAGGTTCAGAAAAATGAAGTGTCCTTGCATGATTTTGATCGTTGGAATATTTTTAGAATGGGCAGAAAGAATGAGCTATGCAGAAAAACCTACTCAAGAAGGCTTCTTGAAAATTGCATTATTTTCCATGGAACTTTAGCCCTATATTAGGGTTAGGGGTGTGCACCAGGGGAGGTTTAGCGTTAGAAAAACAAGGTGTCCTGGCATGGTTTTGATCCTTGGAATTTGCTTAGAATGGGCAGAAATGATGAGCTGTGCAGAAAAAGCTACTCAAGGAAGGCTTTTTCAAAATCGCAGTATTTTCAAAGGAACTTTAGTCCTATATTAGGGTTAGGTGTGTGCAGCAGGGTAGGGTTAGAAAAACGAGGTGTCCTGACATGATTTTGATGCTTGGAATGTGTTTAGAATGGGCAGAAATTATGAGCTGTGCAGAAAAACCTACTCCAGGACGGCTTCTTGAAAATCGCATTATTTTCAGTAGAACTTTAGCTCTATATTAGGGTTAGGATGTGCACCAGGGTAGGGTTAGGGTTTGAAAAACGGGGTGTCCTCGCATGATTCTGATTGTTGCAATGTGTTTAGAATGGGCAGGATTGATGAGCTGTGCAGAAAAAGCTACACAATGCTTTTTCAAAATCGTATTATTTTCAATGGTACTTAACCCTATATTAGGGTTAGGTATGTGCACCAGGGTAGGATTAGGTCAGTGGTGGCGAACCTATGGCAAGTTTGCCTCAGTGGGCATGTGAAGCCCTCTGTGTTGGCATGCTGGCCATGTCAGTCCAGCATCTCCCCAGCTGCTGTGCATTGGATTACAGCGCACCAAGGGGCAATGGCATATGCTCGGAACGGAGTAGCAGCACCAGGCGATGTCTTCATGAGCCGAGACTCATTAGCTGCCACTTATCAGAGCTTTCGCTTGACCACTCAGTTCGCTGCCAAGGTACTATATGCTTGGACTGTTTGTGAGTTGTTTTTTCTAAACTAAAACCTCAGGTTTCAGGTTTTATTGTAGTGTTGGCTCTTTGCAATAAATAAGTGGGTTTTGGGTTGTAGTTTGGGCACTCAGTCTCCAAAAGGTTTGCCATCGCTGGTCTAGACTAACTAGACCAAATCTATTTGCCAGCCTCTGTTCTGCGCATACCTTTAAATGACTTTCACAAAATAAGGTAGTAACTGTCTTTGATTTTATGGGCCCGTTTACCACTGAGGTGAAATTTTGGGAGGTATGAAAGCCAGTTTCACAGACACAGTGCCTTCATTTCATCAGAATTGGAAATAATACTCCATTGTGCTTGCTGATCATAATGGTAGCTTATGAAACTAAACTTTCCCCTCTTGTTTTTCTAGATGAAGCAGATTATGGTAACTTTGGATCAAATACTTTAACTAGAAAGAAGAAAGCTTTGGTGACCCTCCGAAATGACAACCTTCGCAGACGCCCCCATGTTAACATCAGCATGCCTCAGGATTTTAGGCCGGTGTCCTCCATCATTGATGTGGATATTCTGCCTGAAACTCATAGAAGGGTAAGATTATATCGACATGGATGTGAGAAGCCACTAGGATTTTACATCCGTGATGGGACAAGTGTAAGAGTAACTCCTCATGGGCTGGAAAAAGTCCCTGGCATTTTCATCTCACGAATGGTTCCCGGTGGTTTAGCTGAGAGTACAGGCTTGCTAGCAGTTAACGACGAAGTCCTGGAAGTGAATGGCATAGAAGTGGCAGGAAAAACTCTTGACCAGGTAACAGACATGATGATTGCCAACAGCCACAATCTTATCATCACTGTCAAGCCAGCGAACCAACGGAACAATATTATCAGAAGCAGTCGGATGTCTGGCAGTTCGGGCCAGTCCACAGACAGCACGGCAAGTCACCACAGTTTGCCTTCCTCTCACATCCTGCAGAACTTCCACCCTGATGAAATGGAAAGCGACGAGGACGCTGACATTGTAATCGAGGGCTGTCTGGAACCACAGCCCATTCCAAAATCACACAGCCTTCCTTCTGGTAGCCTTTCCCGTATTAATGGCAACAGTCTTAGCCACAGACTGCAGAGGGATCTGATACTCAACAACAGCTTGGGACGACAAAGCAATGGCAATATTCATAAACTTCTAAGCTCCTTAAAAACTGATCCTCGTCATAGCTTGGTTATTCCGAAAGGTGGCATAGAAGAGGATGGAACAGTGATAACACTTTAGCGGGTGATTGTCTATATTGTTTCTAGTCTGAAGTGCCAACTGGAACAAATGTATCCACATATGGAAGAAAGAGAACATTAAATCTCATAGACTTTCTGATGTCTGAAACAGGTGTTGCTTTCCGGGAAGGATGATTTTCATGATTGGACATACGGATGTCACCTATTACATCCCATAAAAGAGTGTAAATAAAAGAGGTTCAGAATGAGAGAAGAGAGAAATGAATATTTTTTAAATCCCACGAAAATACTCTGGCTGAGTTACAGGAAATAGGATGCATACAGAAAAACTAGACATTTCCTGCATGTATGAAGGTACTCTGCCTGCATACATGCAATGGTTTATATCAGCTTTCTCTAACAAGGTACCCTTGCAGATGTGTTGGACTACAACACCTATGTACAGCCTGAGATGATGGGAGCTGTAATCTAACACATTTTGGGGGTCACCACATTGGGAGAAGTTAGTTTACATTTTGGTAAGGAATAACACCACAGCAAATCTGGAGCGGCCATTCATAAATTATAATTTGGAGAAAATTACTATTAAATATATTGCATTTTAAGAATTATTTTCTACCCATAGATACTGTTCCCTAATTTCTTTAAAAAGAAAATGTTATAATATTGTACCTAAAGCTGAGAAGGGATGCCCAAAGGAACAGCTTCCTACCCTGGCAAGTGTTTTTGGCATGCTACATTTACCTTTTCTTTTGGGGGGGGGCAAATTTGACCAAATGATTTTTGTTTTGTATTTTTTTAAAGTGGGATAGAAATGGATATTGTTGGCATTTGTTTTCCATTTTCCTTTCTTTCTCGATCTGCTCCACCTGCTGGTTACCGGTAGTACTGTCTGAATAAACTATATCTTTGTGTATGTTGTATGTGAAAACCAGGCAGCCCAGAGGCTCGTTTAATTAATGCACCACCATAATGTGTGATGTGCGTTCTCTTTTTAGTACTAAAATATTTATTAGCAGATATTTCAATTGGTTTCACTATCTGATCTTGGTTAACAGTACTTAATAAGGAAATAAATAATGGAATTCTTAGGCACATATTATGCCCATGTTCTAAGAAACTATGAGAAATTCATCAAAATTTGTCTTACTGTTTAGAATTAACTTGGATCCACAGAGTCTTTAATGATGAAAGCCAGTCACTCTTTTTTGGTACATATTATTTGATTTCCTAATCTAGTTATTGTTTTTCCTGAGAATCTAAAATGCTACAGTTTGGCAACATATTAAAAGTTTTTATCAAGGTTTTTTTCTTAGGTTGTCATGATCACAATTAGCTATAAAATAATCAATTAGGACACAATCCATGCATGCTTTGACAGGAAACAGTCTACAACTCCCAACATCCTGAGATAGAATGGCTATCTACATATGCATAAGATTGTGTCTTTACAGATTATTCTAGAAATAACGTTTTGCTCCCAGCTCTGCTTTTATGTTCCATAAAAATCCACAAATTTTTAAAATAGTTCAATAGAAAAAATTGAATATATTCATGAGATGTCTAGGAATAAAATATAATTGTTTTACAATGTATTTTTCTACTTTTAGCTTTGTCATTTTCTTGTTTTTTTACAGTGTAGTATTGTATATTAAAGTGTTTCTAAACAAATGAACTTTCTTTATTTAATTCCAACTTCTTTCACACCCTGATTTTGCCCATCACATTTGCAGCATAATAAGTAATTCGTTCTTGTGCTTGAAATAAAATTATGCAAGAGTTGCCATCATCAACCCAAGTTCAGATCCCAGTCAGCAAAACTTTCTGAAGAGAAATACATTAGCCAATTCAATTGAGGATTGATTGGAAGCTGAATGTGGTTTCTTAACAGTATTTAAGGTACTGGGAATTTGATTGGTCAAAGGCAACTCATTGTGTTAATAGGTTTTTAGAAACCTCAATACTGATTGTCATCTGCCTCCAAATTTTAGTGGCCAAGTCCTTTGCAGAGCAGAGATGATACGATACCTTCCCCTCCCCTACCCTGAAATTCCTAATGGAACCTGTGCCATAAAAAAGCAACATGATATGAAAGAGAATTTTAGAAGTCTCGCTGCTGTCATGAAAATACTTCTTAAAAGTACAAATCACAGAAATGCGCAAGACTAAAAGGGTACAATTTCTCCTATTGCTGTCTTGTGAAAACCATTAACCAGACTGGCAGGAGTCTAGAAAATCGATATTATCCCTTTTATTCCATTTTAGTGTTTGTGCCCCAATATTCATGCTATAAAGTATCCTCCAGTGACATCACACCAAAACAAATACAGTGTTTTAAAATCTAACAACCTGAGTGCACTTGCCTATATAAACATTAAACCAGACCTTTTTAATTATGTTCGGGTTTGCAGCCCGGTTTTCTGGTGAAAGTGCTACCCAGATGGTGTTCGTAGAGGAACCAGGCATGATGTTCTACAAAGCAACAATGAGGAGATGGAAGAGACACCTGGGTGCATTTTATTCAAGTTTCATTCATAATCAGCAATAAGGTGGTGTTCCTAATAATAGAATGCATTGCAATCAACATCTCACATGATAACATTTCACAAAGTAGATCCAACAGTCACAAAAAGTACTTGTGGAATAGTGGCAGTGGCTCTCTAGTGTTTGAGACAGGATTCTTTCCTATCCTTCCTGATGTCTCCAGGGATGGGACTGGGAGCCCCCAGCATGCAAAATGTTCTCTTCCACTGAACTGAGGTTCCTGCCTCATAAGCCCATGCAAACCAACTTTAAACAGGAGGTTATGGCTGTAATTTTATTAGATCTAGTAGATAAGAAGGGTTCCATTTATGATGCTTAATTTTGAACTGAAGGTGTTTTAAAATATTACTAAGTTGCTAAAATTCTAATGAGGCGTCCAGTTTGAAATAAAAAATGTTGCTAGTGCAGCTTCTTTGTCTTCTCTGGGCATCTCACATATGGGCTCTGCACCTGCGTGGAGCATGTTGTCACCATCTCTGCTAGTGGGAATGTCCTGCTTAAGTGCCCTTTTCATCTTGGCACTTAAGGGAAATGCGGTTATCTACGTAACTGGAGGAATGGAAAATACATAGATAACTTTTTCTTTCATCTCCAAACCTATTTGGCATAATACAATGTGTTAAAATAGTTCCTCCATCCTTCCCCCCACTGTAGCTTTAGGGACAATCTTTAGAAGTTGCTTCATAATTTTGTTGGATTTAAGTGGGTGGTTTAAATGCCTAAATCAGGCCTACCTCCTAAATGTAGCTGGTTCCCTCCATTTCTTCTGAATGATGCCATTTCCAGAGGCAGGACACATGCCGCTTCATCCCCCACTTGTATTTATGGATGATGCCTTTAGTGCTACCTTTTTCTGTCCTACAACACCCCCAGCCTTGAAATGCCTAGCCCCATAACTCTCAATCTCTTGGGCCTCTACTCTTCCTATGCATTAGTCATAGGAAGATACCCAATGTGGCACTAGCACTTTTGCTAGCGTAAAGAGCACAACACCAATAGTAGTTGCTGCCACAGTGGGAGGCCATGTTCTTGTTCTGCTAGAGGTCATTTATGCAAACACAACATAATTTGTAGTAGGGCTAGGGTTGCCCTGGATATTGTCCATAGCACAGCCTATGTACGTGGATATGAATAAGAAACATGTGAAATCCCTTAGCCTTATGGAGCTGAGTAGGGTGTATTTTCCAAAAGAAGGATGCTTTTTGCTGTTTTGTCCTAGCAGGTGCAATCTAAAAACTGGCACCTAGAAGAGCTGTATCAAATTAAGTCTCTAGTTTTCTCCTAAAACCCATTTTAGATCATCTCCACCCCCCCCCCCGAAAATGTGGTTGTAATCTTTTTATTAGGCCTACCAAAAGACCCAAACAGGTGCAAGCTTTTGAGATCCCGCATTTGTCAGGCAATATGCTATATGGGCAGGTTATAGGGTGGATAGGCAAAAATGTGACAAGGCAAGTCACATTGCCTTGAAGTTCATATTGTGACTGAACTTACCATCCTGGGACTCAGTGAAGGATGGCATAGGCAAACTTTAACAGATCAATTATTTAATTAATTAAAATAAAATTATCCTGCAGTTTCAGGATGAAGCCAGTGACTTCTCTCCTCCCTCGACCCATTTTTATTATCCACCCTAACAGAGCTTTTTAGAACTTAGAAGTGGTCACTTGTGCTTTTGGGGTTGTTCTTATTATAAAGATAAATAATGTAAAGACACATTTGGCCGTAGTGGTTCTCCTCTCAGGGATCGTCTGCTTTTTGTTGCTTAGGCACACGTGAAGGGGGAAAAAAACCATAATTCTCTTGTATTTGGACGTACAGCTATAGGCCCTGTAGAGATAGCAGCCACAAAGGTGCGGGGAAAAGCAAAACAGAAAGGGGGAAAAAACTAGCAGCGCGGAAGCTGCTTCAACCTCCGGACTTTCCTTGCAAGCAGCGCGGCGAAGGAATGGGGGCGGGGCCTCCTCCTCTCACGAGACCGAAGCACGCGCTCCGCCGAGAGGCCAGCCCTGCGCCACGCCCCGAATTATAGAATTATAGAATTTAGGAAGCTCGGGTTTATCAGCCTCGCGTCCGCGATTGTGCCTGCTGGGTTTCCGTAGTCGGGAAAAGCTCTTCGCCCGCCGCTTAAGGCGCCGCTGGTTGAGAAGCGCTGAATCAGGCAGGGGGCGGCCAGATGTGCGAGAGCGGAGGTTAGGCAGGGGTTGAAGGGAATGGACGGGGCGGCGGCCGCCGCGGAAGAGCCGCCGCTCCAGCTGAGCGGAGACAGCGGCAACGTCTCGCAGAGCCACAGCAGCACCTCCGGCCTCGGGGACGAAGACGCAGCGGGAGAAGACGCCCTTGGAGGGGAACTGTTGCTCGCTGCCGCCGCCACCGACTACAGCGCCTACGTCTTGCCCTCTCCGCTAGGCGGCGCGGCCTCAGCCGGGCAGGTCAGTGGACGAGCTCGTCGGCGCATGCGCTCTGCTGGTGGCCGTGACCTTTCTGGCTGGGCTGCGGCGCTCGCGAAATGCGGGAGCTGCAGCGCCATCCGGTGGAACCGCCTTCTGCAACCTGGAGCTCTCCGAAGCATTAGGAGCGGAGGGCGCTCGGTTGGGTTGCTGTGGACAGGCGTTTAAAGAAGCAAGCCCGAGAGTGCAGTGGAGCACTTGCACGGTTATTTTCTTCCATTTCGATGCGTTTGCCTCCTCCTGGTTCGTTTGTCGCTCGCTCGCTCGCTCACTTCCCTTAAAGCGATGTTAGCAGGCAGCTTTAAAGCCATCCTGTAGGTTTAAGACTAACTACTGTTGTATCCGGCTGTGGTTTTAACCAGTTTTTCAGGCGGCTGGCGGTAGAAGAGTTTTAAATTCAGACAGTTACATGTTGAACCATGTTGTTGTTGGAATATGGGTTACTCTGTTTTCTGAACCCAGCCAAAACAGCAGGCTGTACGGAACGGTCGACAGTTTACAAACCCAATTACATTGTTTTTCGTAACGTGTTGCTTGTAGTTAAGCAGAGGGATAATTCTAAGGTTCTGCAAAACTATGTGTCTACTCAGAACTAAGTCCCATTGTGCACAACAGGACTTACTTTCACGTGTATATCGCAAAGGTGGTGTCCTTGGAATAAAAGCAGTCTTTTCAATAGTGATACAATAACATTGTAAAAGAACAGTATTTTTCACATAGTGGAAACTTCCCTTTCCAAGATCTTTGGCTCTTCTACCAGATTGCCTTTCTTTTTCCTTTTGGGAGTCCGTTGGGGTTCTATTCTATTCTATCCTTATTCTCATCTTTTATAATACCTTGGGTAAACTCATCAGATTCCATAGCTTTCATTAGTACTTGTCTGTCTCTCCCCAAGACATGTCTCCCTTTGTCCAATTCTACCTGTCTAATATATCAAATTCAGCATCTCCAAGGCTGAACTATTTGTTGTTGTTCATCATATTAGTTAACATAATTACTATTCACTTTGTTGATTAGGCGTGAAGCCTTGGACTTTGTTTTGGTTCCTTTCTCACCTTTACTCCCAACATTCAGTCAGTTGCTGGGTTGTGCTACTTCTCTCCTAAAGTGGTATACACTACAAATCCAGCCTTCCTGGCTCTTGGCTATGTCGGGGGAACCATGTCAGGGAAGTTGGTTGAACATCATTGGAAAAATTATCTGGGTTTTTTTTTCTTGGTCCCCTAAGTTCATTTTTTGACTTGTTGTATGTTTTGTGCCACAAATTACACCAACCTTCCCTTTTCTAAGCTTCTTCTCTCATACTTCGTCCTCTTTTCTCTACCACAGTCAAAGCTATTCACATCTCCCACCACTTTGGTCTCAGAACAGACCCCTAAAATTCCTTCACTAGGTTTCAACGCCTTCCATATCCAGCCAAAACATCTCTTCATTTTAAAACAACCACGGCAATTTGTGGCCTTCCAGGTGTTTTGGTCTACAACTTCCATCAGCCTTGGCCAGGATAGACAATTGTGAGAGAGGATGGAAGTTGTAGGCCAAACAACAGGAGGGACGCCTGCTTTAAAACCTACCATGTCTTTTAGTCTGTGCTTGTATCCATTACTTTGTCTCCTCCAACTTGCCCTTCTGTCTAAATGTCTCCCTTAAACATCTGCACGTTTTCCCTTGCTGCCCTTTCTCTCTCCTTTGTAAATGTATGTTACCACATCTCTTTATCATCAAATCCCTCCCCCAAATCCCCCTTTTTCCATGCAGCCTTTGGTTTATGCTTGTTGTTTTATTCCAAAGAGTAACCAAGCTTTAAACATAAATAACATTTGTCCGCACTTTGCCCTACCTCTGATGTTTTCTCCACTGTCTGTTTTGGACTATAAGCACTTTGGGAGCAGTTGCCTTGTCTGTATCTCCTCAGTAAAGCACCTTGTCTATCACTGGTGCTGTACTAATCAAAACTTAGGCTGAATTTTCCAGCAGAAAGTTTTACAGTGCAGAGCAACCCCTGCCCCCTTAGAGAACACTAAATTTCACAGTAGCAGAGGAACTTCTGGCAGAAAGTCAAGGGTAACATGTCTGTTAGATCTGCTAGATGCTGATAACATCTTGTTATCTCTGAGACAGGCTATCTATTTTACTTAAAAGACATGAGGGTGAGTATTGTGGATTTTTTCTCTTCTGGGTTCCCTACTTTATAATGTCAGGCTCATAGTGTGCTACCTGTGCTTTTGCCTCCAACTGCTGCAACTCTTGCATAATTTTTGTATGAACTTTGTTTTGTAGATTGAAACTTTAGATAAGAGTCTGGAAGATTTGCTGACCAGGGTTGATGAGTTTGTGGGAATGCTAGACATGGTAGGTATGCTATTGAGAAACCTAAGTTAACATCCTTGTTGTAGAGTTATATGAAACCTTTTTCCCCCTAAGCTGTTGAAATGAGAAGACTTTCAGGCATGCTTTTACAAAAAGGTAAAGTGACATGCTAAAATATAGATGGCAGATTTTTATTAGCCTCTGAGCAAAGAATTGCTTTAGATAAGGCTTTCTAGCATTACTTGAATATCACCAAAAAAAAAAAAAAACCCGTTTCAATAATTGCTTAGAAATCTCAAGCATTTGTTTGACAATCTGTATAAAAGGGGAAAACACCATTGCAACAGCAAAAAAAAGTACATTGTGTTCAGTTCCGGGCTCCACAGTTTAAGAAAGATGCAGTAAAAAAAGAAATGGGTTCAGAGGAGGGCAAGAAAAATGATCAGGGGGCTAGAGAAAAAGACCCATGAGGAACGATTACCTAGGGAGGCATTCAAGAAGCAATTGGACAGCCATCTGTCAGGGATGCTTTGAGTCCTGCATTTTGCAGGAGGTTGGACTCAATGCCTTATAGGCCCTTTCCAACTCTACTGTTCTATGATTCTATAATCCTTTGTTCTGAATTTCAGCTTGTATGTGTTGATGTAACTCACTATCCAGATCTGTGGTAGTACCTGCTAAACTATCAAATTCTTTGGACTGGGGCATCCCATCATTCCTGGAGGCATGAACAGATCTCTGAGTCATATGCCTTTTTCAGCCACTGTATGTGCTCAGTTACATTATGGTTGGGTCTGCTTTCTGGGTTGGCCCTCCTGTTAGGCAGAAGCAGGCAGTTGCCTCAGGAGGCAGCTGCTGGGGGTGGCATCAGATGTTGGAAGACAGAACTCTGTACCCAGTATAGGCTGCCCTCTGCCCCCTTAGGTAGCCTTGGAAGAATGCTATTCCATCACCAGTGCTGGAAGTCAGATTCAATTGCCAGTCAGGTTGGCTTCTGTATAGGGGGCACCATCATGTATTTTTCCGAGGAAAGCAACATTTAAATGAATTGTTTAAAATATATTGATATATATTATTATTATTATTATTATTATAACATTTCTATGCCGCCCCTTGCCGAAGCCTCGGGGCTGCTTACAACACAATAAAATACATTGAAATACAATAGAACATAATAAATTACCATTAAATACAAAAATACAAAAAATACACTGAGTTTCAAACATAATAATATAAAATTAAAAATAACAGTATAAAATAAGTAAATAAACAATATAGGAGGAGAAAAGAGAAGGAAGAAGAAGTTGCCTTGGCCAGATCATGTATTTTAACAATTAAAATGATGTTTAAATAAAAAGGTCTTTACCTGGTGCCGAAAAACCAGTAACGACGGTGCCAGGCGGACCTCTTTGGGGAGTGAATTCCATATATATATATTATTCCAACTTGATCACGCCAATGTGTAGGCAACTTTGTCTGGTTTTTCTCTAGATTCGAAATGATTCCTCTCAAGTAATCAATGAAAGTATACCACATATTCATACAAAGGCTATCGAAATGAGGCAGCTGTACAGGAAAATTGACAAATTAGAGGTATGTGTTTCTAATGTCAGTGTCATAGTTTCTTTTTACAGGTCTAGTATGAGTTTTCTGCTATTTTCCCTTGTTTTGTTGTTAGTTGTGCTACCTTGTTTCTGTGACATTATCAATGTAGTGAGCTGTTAAGTTCCAGAGTGTGTAAAAAAACAACATTCCTGCCTGCAAGAACCTTCACTGCTGAAGGGAGAGAGTGTCCATATCCATTCTGCTCATCACGTAGTGCTGAATTGCTCAGTTGAGCAGTTTGCTGTCTTGCTGTTCTTAAAACCTATTTTAACATTGCTACTCCTTTTCTTAATGTTTATTCCTCTGGCTTTATGTAACAGTGGAAAATGTGCCTTTTTGTTGTAAATTTTTGTAGTGAGTCACTTTAGAAGAAAAGCTTGACATTGCATCTCCAGATGTATGTACCAGTCCTATGTCATTTAAATCCTAAGTAACTTTTCAGATAAATTCAGAAAGTCAAATTAAGTGGAGAACCCCAAGACTTATGTTTATGTACTGTTCTGCCATACAGTTTTTACATTATGAGGTTGGAATAATTGTTATAACACAGCCATGAAAAAGTAATAGTTTTTAAAAATTAAGGACTACTTTCTGCTCAGTGCTTTAATAAACAATTAGACATGTGCAAAATCCAGGCACTTGGATTCATTTTGATTAAGCGCTGTTAAGTGTGTTTAAAGATCCTTAAGCAAACAGTTGGATTGTGGCTCTTGAATGTCATGTAAAGTAGGTTTAATTTCTGATTTCTTTTCAGGTGGATGACAAATAAAACCGTGTATCTAGGAAATGATCATTTGATGTATATCTTTGTTTGCATATGTTCATTGCTACCACTAATCTATTTTCTCCTTTTCCCTTTGAAACCAGGCCTTTGTAAAAATGGTTGGAAACAATGTGGCTGGGTTAGAGGAACAGATCATAAAGGCAGAATCAGATCTTGGAATGTTTTCAAATTCTTTTAAAAAACTCTTACACACAATCAATGTGCCATCTTTTCTTCATGTAAGTTTCTTTCATTAATGACAAGCATAGTTTATGGAACAAAACATGTAGTAACTCTTAGTTCAGAGGTTATGCTATAGCAGGGGTGAGGAACCACTGTTGAAGTGTGGCCTGGCAGTCTGTATAAATGTATATATACAGCTAAAATTTGGAAATATAACAGGAGCATGAAGCATACATGCAACCGAGTCCTTTTTCTTGCACTGTTGCATCTCTTTGGGATGTCTGCTTATAGCATGTATCTTCAGGAGATTTTATTCCCTATGGAACCTCTGAAGTGAAAAAAAAGTGTTCTGGGGAGAACTGGAGCATCAGCATTATCTGTGCGAAGTATAACTGAAAAGCACTGTTTTGTTACAGAACAAAAAGCCTCAAGTATTGAATTATTAACAAAAAGAACTCCATCTACCATACTGGCCATGTTACCTTTTCTTCTCCACACTATCCCGCAGGAATTTGCACCAGCTCTTTCTAAAGCAGATGGAAAAGTCTGTGTGCTTCATGAGAAATGAATTGACAGGTCTTTAGCGCCATTCCCCACCTTTGATTCTTTTTTGGATCCCATCTGCCATGTGTGTTCTAGGATTGGTTATCTATACATCTTCTCACACACATTTTATAAAGTAACTGTGGAATGACTTTAGTCTTTCCAAAATTAATTCATTTCCTCTTCTCTATGTGTAAGCTACCATAAAAATTGCAGATTTTAAAATGTCTCTCTGTTGGGTGCAAACATTTTAACAGAGATTGTAATTACAGAAATCATCTTCCTCAAGGCAGAATCAAACCCTTTATGAACCTCCAGAGCTCTTCAAGACTGAAGAATACTTCCCTTTTCTTGGTGAAGCACAGCATCTGTGATCTAGCTGGCCATGACATTATTTGAAAGATAAATGAGTGAGAGCCATGATGGTCTTCAAGTCGCTGCACTTCTTTGAAAACCACAGCCTGCTGCTTTGCTGTGTATCTTCAAATGCTTTCCTTTTGGCTATCTGGTGTAGAATATACTTACTGTTTTTTTCCAGTCTTCCTAATGGGGCAGTTAGCCTTATCAGTAAGCCACTTTGAATGGGGGTTGAGGAAGAGGCAAAAGTCATCTGTACAAAGCATCCTACAGCTAAGACTAGCCCTTTCCCCCACCCTCAGACACTACACACAGAAATAAGAGGGGATACAGAAAGAATACTATTCACCAACCACCTTTTTTTCCCTTTCCAAACTAGAAAGTGGCAAACGGGCAGGCAGAAGCAGAACATGTAAGAAAGCTTCATGCATGTGCCCATTTTCCTTTCCAACATGACATGCAGGATGGAGAAACCGTAGTTTTCTATGTATTTCTCTTTTCTGCTCCTCCTTTTTTTGAGTCCCAGATAACTCAGAAATCCCCGTGGGAGGGGGGAAAACTGAGAGGCCAAGCAGCAGAATTAACATCCATCTTTGCCACTAAGTGAGAACTTGGAATATAAGGCAGCTTGTAATAAAAGAGTGAATTGGTTAATGGGCAATGATTGGCCAAACTTTAGTACTTAGTTGATTAAGTTCATTTGAAAACCTGTTATAAATTATTTACTTAGGAAAAAACAGAGAATGTATTTTTTTTAATTGAATGGTTTTGTTGCTGCTAGTAGTAACCCGTGCCTATGACAAGGATAGTTTTTTAAATACTTCTGTGGTTCATCTAAGTGCAATAAGGACCAAAACTGTAAGTGTTCATGTTCTTCACGAACATGTCTAGATTCTGTTCTGTATCTTGGGGAGAAGTAGATTGTCTAAGTAGAGAGAAGCAAAAATGCCATTATTGTTTGAACTGCTGCAGAGTAAAGGAAAACTGCAGTTATGTGCTGACTGCTGTTACATTGGGGCAACTGTCTCAAATCTTTTTTGATGAATATATTAAAACTTGTATGTAATGCCAAAATGTGTGATGACCAAAGCTCTAATAACTTAAAATTTAATTAAATCAGATTTCTCATATTTATGAAGTCGTTATTTCTAAACTATAAAAATGCAAATTATTTTAAGCAAGCTATAAAGCTCTGGGTTGCAAGACCTTATTTTTCAGCCTTTGGTAGAGCAGGCTGTTTGCTGCTTAAGTACTGTCTTGCCATGTTTTCCAACATTTTTCAATTTTTCCCCTTGTTTCCATCTTTTCCTTCTTCTGTAAGAGTTCCTGAAACTACAAATCCTTTCTTCTCTGTTCCCACTCTTGGTCATATCACTTGATCTTCAATACTAGCATTTTTCTCTTTCTTTACAGAATTATTTTCTTCCTCTGCCTTGTCTACTTTCAGGTGAAAAATAACAACTTTCTCAAACTCACCCATACACTTTATCCTCTCCCAGTATTACTTTCCTTTGTTCTGAATATTTTTCCTTCTCAAGCTCAGAATCTGAAGGAAAAAAAGATTCTTTCCCCTTATATGTTTACAGCCCTCCCCTTTTCACCTGATATAGCTAGAATTCACTCTCTAGGGCAGGGTTAGGCAGCTTTTTCCAGGGACAGGGGCCAGTGTCCCCACACAGGAATGATCTTGGGTGTCGCACCTCTTCACAGCACCAATTTTGTTGCAAATATCCGACGGGCAGGTAGCAAAGCTTAAAGATTTTGAGACATGGCTTGCTGAAAGCATGAGTTCGTTGGCTAAACCTCAAAAGAAATTAGTCCTTTTTTGCCACTGCCTTTCCACTTTTTTAGTGCCAAAATGCCACCTAGAGATGCTCCCCCAAATGTTACCGTTTTTCATTTGAATTAGAATAACAATCCATGATTTTTCCCCATAGATTTTGAAGTATATAAACTTATTATATATAAGTACATGTTTGTACTTACATAAAGCCTTTTATTTTATTCCTTCATATTGTAGATTGTATCTGCTTTCAAGTATCACAGTGCCTTTGCCTAATCTATCTTTTCAGTAGGACTTCCTTGGAACCTTTTCACTGGAGAGACCAATCTTAGTTGTTTCAAATTTATTTTCTATGGACTCTGCCCACTTGTTCTTTATAGCTTCCTATTATAGCTCAAGCTACTATTCCACCAGACACCAACTGTGAATCAAGTACCTTTGTAAATCATATTGTTTCTTGCAGCACCTTCCCTATAGATAGGAGCATATAGTCAGGTCCTGTCTTGCGTGGACAGAAGGGTTCCATTCTTGGATAGTGCCTCTGCCTGGTTTTCAGGAATCCCTGACCGTCTATGCAGCATTTTCATGAGGCTCTTATGGTATAAAATTTACTAACTTCAATCCAGCTGAAATTAGTAATTACTAAGGTTCCTTGAAAACAGTGTAAGTTAGGATGCAAATATTGTATTCAATGCCCTTAAGCACAACTAACTCCTACTGCAATGGAACCAAGGAGATAAAATACCACATGGTTAAAAGTGAAGTGGTTCCAGGCAGTCTTAACTGGAATATGCACAAGCTGGTTCTCATGGAACAGTAAATTGCTCTAGATATTTTTGGAGCTTCTGAGTTGCTCTTTTCTAAGCTTCATCCTTCCAGATACCAATCAAGGGTATGTGAATGTAGACTAGACAAGATTTGGGACCACTGAACTAGGAAAGCTGGAGCTCCTGCTCTTCAAGGGAACCTGAACTAAGCAGACCTGCGTAACTGCATGAAAGTTTTGGTGAAAATGCATTGTTAGCTTTTACTTAAGTAATTAAGCTGTAGGTATATCAGGACACATTCCAGAGAAACTAAGGCAAACTTTAAAGCACCTTAAGAGGCTGCAGATTGTGAATAACCTTTGGGTAAAATGAGACTTCAGACTGCAAAAGTAGTGTTAGTAGCCAAACCCATCCGCCATGACTGGGCTACAACCTCTTCCTTGTGCTCAGAGCCACTGGGACTCAGGAGCTCGGAGTTCTAGTTTCCCCCTCAAAAAGGGAGCTCACTGGGTGACTTTTAGCTAGTCAGATTCCCAGCCTAACTTACCTGTTGTTAAAAGGATAAAAACAGCAGAAGAAAACTATGTAAGCCACTCTAGGTTCCTCTGAAGCGGAAGAAAGGCCCTGTATAAATGCAGTAGTAATGGTATGTGTTACATTAATTGCAAGAAAGATTAGCAGTGGCTATTAATCATGGCTACTGTATATTACCTCTATCAGAGGCAGTATGATTTTCTGTTGCAGGTCTCTCATAGGTATTTGGATTGGGCATTGTGGAAAGAGAACACTAACACAATACGTTTTTGGCTTGATTCAGCACAGCAATTTTTTACATTCTTTATGAAGCACAGCCATACCTACTGCTGCAAGGCACACCAACTTAACCTGTGATTTTGCAACCTTTTGTGTTATGCCTCAATTTGAGGAATTTCTTTCACACGCATGCGCACACCATTCCATTCACGTTATGAGATAAATGAAAACTTCCAGAACTGAATAGGGGGAGAACAGGGCTAAATCAATTAGGAAATCAACTTCACTTGCCTTTCATCTTGTTATAACCACAACAGCTGTTGCAGCAGCAAGTCAGCAAACTGATGTTGTATGTGGAGATAAAGAAGCAAAATCAAGAGCTGCTAATAGCAACCAGGTCAGTTAGAAGACGTATGTCTACCAAACAGAAATAACCAAAGTTAAGGAAACATGTCTACTGATGAACTACTTAGTGTCATAGTAACTACAGCCATAGACTTTAGTGGTAGCTTAGCAAGAAAGCAGTCCATAAGGAAATCTAGGAAATGGTTTGGTATAGTTTTCATTTTCTAGTTCTAATGAAGCAGAATGCTCTAACTTCTAAAAAAGTTGGATGATTTGATGCAAGTGGTACATCACCACCATGAATGAAAATGCTTAAGTAGCTATGTGATGATTTGTAAAGATTAGGCAAGCACATTTTAGAAATCAAGTACTAGTACAAAACTGCTCCTACACTTCTGGCAGTGAAAACTCTGCTCTACTGTTAGGAATAGAGAGATGCATTTGCTATAGAACAATCTTTCAATAGAGCTGCAGAGGAAGTCTGGTTTTATCTAAACTCAGTGTATCACCTTTAACACCGCATGCTTGGAAACAATCAGAAGGCTGTCAAAAACCCACTGTGTGGAAACAAAGCTCTACAATACATGAGCACTTGTTTACATTCTCTTGGTATTTGCTCTACTGAAAGCTTGTAAAGGGTTCAGTTTGAGATGGACAGAAGGTGGCTCTTTCCTGGCCAATATTGACTTGCTGCACACTGCAATACCAAATACAAGGTGAATGTGGTCGCATGCAGATTCTAAAGGACCATTGTGTATATTCTGCAAAATTAAATAGAAAAGCTTCCTTAACTTAATCATATCAGTCTGCTACATGGTTTAATGATTCCCATAGGGAAAAATGCTGAATGTCCTAGACATATATACTCCATCCATGGGGAAAGTAGTGTATTTTATACAGGGGTCTCTTCAAACATGCAAGAATATAATTGTAATAGTACAATACTGGAAAATTTTGGTTGTTATAAACCATTTCTGAAACACCATATAAAAGTCATCAATTGTTTGCTTGAATTCTTTTCAATTACACCCATTTAAAGTCTTATACATATTTTAAAGTGAAAATGGCTGTCTGAAACACACCCTCAAAATAGAAAAAAAAGATTGCTACTAATATTTACATATTTAATTTTTTTTATTATTGCAACTTTATTTGGAGTTCTCCTGCTTCTCTATATTCAACTAGCTCTTTAAGAAAAACAAAATGTAGGGCACTGGTCACTTAAGTACCACTACTACCGGACCTCTTTTTCTATCCTTCATAGTTCATACTTATTCCTATACAAATAATTCCTATAGTGAGCGACCAGAACAAGCATTGTCCCAAGAGCTCCTAAATTTACCTTCACCAATTAAAGTGAATTTGTCTTTTGACACTGAATAAATGTGCCCTTGATTTCTAGATGACAATTTTCAACAGCCCAGATATTTCCTCCCAAATGAGTTAATGTCTACCAATTTGTTTCGTACCCCATTCCCAGGGTCTAGCAGGTTCAAATAGTTGGGTTTTTTTAATGTGACAGTGTTTTAACCACTTTTTGTTTTTAACAGCCTAACACTTGTAAGGAGAATTGTAGGAAAACAACTACTCTGCTTCAGAGTAGTTTAAATCATGTGGATGAATAGCAGTAGTAATTCTTCCTGCTCCTGAGTGGCCAGCCCATGCCTTTTGTCATTTTCTATACCTGCAGAATGTACAATGCCAACACAGATGTGGCGAATCTGTGACTAGAACACCCCTACAAATGGATGGATTGTGGCCCCATCTCAGCACCTCTTCCTCTGCACTGGCGAATTAAGATGCTACATGAAAGAACAGAAATCAAACCATAACACCCTCTTCCAATTTTCTGACATTTATAGAAATTGAACAACCTATAATGTAACGCCTTAATATGCACAAGGTATCTACATGCATTTTCAATGAAATAAAACAAATGCCTTGGCATAGATTTCTCAATAACTAAGAAACAGTGTAAAGACAGCACACCAAGTAGTGGTTAAATATTCGTCTTCCTGAATTGGAGGCTGTTAGAACATACCTTTCCAGAAGGCAGAACAGTAACAAAACCCGCCACAGTTCTTAGCCTTATTTTGGTTTTAAGTAATAGTACCTACTATGCTTCTTCAATAACTTGCCTAGCTTTAAAGCAGGCTGTCACCTGCTGGATAACCCATCAAACTAAATTTCGGGGACTGTAATGAAAGAGCTTTCAGTCAGCACTGATAGAAGCACATGGTGCATTAATTCAGACTGGCGCAGACTCAGAGCTATGCAATCTTTAATTATTAAAGGACTGAGCTGCAATTTATTATGAATAACAAGTATTTTCTCACACCTTTCAAACACTGTGTTTATTTGGTGGGGTGGGGGGGCCAATAGCTAATGCAAAATCAACTATTTTGCACTTGTACTAGCCTTTGACCCCTTGCTCCAAAAAGGAAGTTATGCCTTCTTGTGGATAACTTACAAGCTACTGCAAGCGCTGCTTTGGAATATGCCAGTACAATGGCAGAACAGCTAGCGACTAATGCTAACTGCTTTCTGAAATGGTAGGCAATGACAGAAGAGTACGCCTAGCAAGGAGATGCACCAAATAAAGGAATTCTTAGGTAGCCATTGTAGTCTACTGCAAATGGAAAGCTTCTTGCTTTATTTAAAGATGCAAATCAATAGCTGAAACCCAATAATGGATGCTTCATGAAAAAGGATACCATCTAAGACATTAGAATTTCTTATGAGGGACGCTCACAAACTCTTGGCTGATGTGTACCACTGTATCTAGGGCAGGCAGGCAGTTGCGTGTGGTACAACAACCACAAGTAAAGAGATGGTTTGTAACACAGCAATATGAAGATCAGGGTAGAAGCCAACCATCATAGTTTTAAGAGGGAAGGACTGTAATTTTTTATTATGACCATCTAACCAGTTTTGGGATTTTACCAAAACTATGCACTTTATTTTTAAAACAATTGGTACTAAAAAAAACCATGAAATTTGTTACACAATTATATAAAAACCCATGGGCAGAGAATGCTACACCATAAACAAAAAACAAACAAAAGTAACAAAGCCTCAGGTATACTATACTGTATCCCACTGCCACAATTAACACTTGCCCAAACTGAACGAGGCACTAATCTCATTAGCACAGAACGGTAAGGTTGAAAATGATATTATCATGATCACTCCCTCTTGGCTCCCCCCGCCAGCAGGAGCAGCTACAGTAGCCAGGAACTCACCAGCAAGTTTAGCGTTATAGTTAAAAATGGACTTCTAGTTGGTTGTTCTCCTAACATACCTAAAGTCAGGGTTTGCAGTCACCATTTGATTCCTGGCTTGTTTGGGAGTGACAAGTCAGAAGTCTGGATTCAGACATATCACTAAGCTTTTCAGGAACAAAGCAGAAGCAATCAGCATGCATTAGCATACTGCTTGTGAACAATTAGCCAGAATTTTACACAATGCTGACCTTTTCTTTTGTTTGAATGTGGCCACTGTGCCCTAACAGTTCAATGTCACAAGAAACCAAATCAATGAAAGAGTTGAAGTAATATGCAATCTTAATTGCATGACACTAGGGTTTAGAAAAAAAAATTATACTTCTCCCAATTCACATTTTAGGCTCAAACTGTGCCTCACATTTTTAAGTTCAGACATACTGAAGCCCAAAAGCACAGATGGCTTAAGATTTTTTATTGCCTTTAGGCACTGGTGTCTCTTTCTCCCAAAAAATGATGCAATATCAACTTTCCATGCACACAGAATGGATGACAGCAAGTCTAACTCCTTTTTAGTAGGATATGGCTTCTTGTGAAAGTAATCTGCAAGAAACCGCTTTTGAACTTCGTTTGAGCTATTTTGGAATGGCTTTGGATTTAATGCTAGATCCTCAACTGAGAATTGTCCTTTAGTATCAGTCTTATGATCAGTTTTTTGTCGTTTGGAAGGCACAAAAGCCACCTCCTTTACTGGAACTTGGGCTGTACCACTGTTTATAATCAGGAATGGCTGGTCATCATTAATTTGGTCCTCTGCAACAGCATACAGATGATCAGCTGGTTTTCTTTTAACTGAAAGAGAAACAGCATCATGCTGTTCACCATTTACCAGTGGCAGATCTTTCTTCTCATTGAGTTCAAGCTGCATTTTTACAGCTGGGGTGCTATCTTTGGGGGCACTTCGGCAACGGAGCAAATGAACGGCAATAGCTGTCAGAGTCATATTGCCAGTGTAAACTCCACAGCAGTGGATACACTTGAAAGCAGGAGTCTTTAAAATGGTGTGCACAGTTGGCATGATATGGTGCCTCTCCTTCAAATGCATCTCATAGGCTTCTGTGCTTACGAAAGTACCATAACAAAAGGGACAGGTTGAAACTTTCTTATTGCCTTTGCTCATTTCAGCAGCCTCGCGCTGTAGCTTGATGTACAGAGGAATAAGTGTCCTTGAGTTTACCCCAGCAAGTACTACTAGGTGCACTTCTCTTTCACACTGTTCTTCTTTTGAATTTATACTGAAGTCAAAATGAGGAAACACCAGGTCACCTTCAGAATCACTCTCAAGTTGAAATCCTTTGTCATCATAATCAGCATGTAGTTTTTTCTTTCCTTTATGCACAGTTTGAGTATGATCCACAAGGCATTTTAAGTCATGGAATGTACTGGTGCAGAACAGGCAAGCTAATCCATGTGTGAAAATATGTTTTATAAGCTCTGCCTGAGAGAGAAAACATTTACAAGAAAAACAACGAACTGTCTTGTCTTTTAGCCATCTCAGAAAAGGTGCACAGGCTGCAACTTTGTCTGTCTCAAGAATAGCCTTAGTCTTTGCTGCATTGAATTTGTGAGCAACCTGCATGTGCACCTGGTAGACATTTGATGGGAAAAGCTCACTGCAAACAGGGCATGTCTTCCACTGCTTAGCTTGTTTAAGGGCAAGGTTTGCTGGAGAAGCAGAGGGGGAGGTCTTGGCAAGGCTATTCATGGAAGAAGTTACTACAACTGAGGAAGGCACAGTAGCTGGGACCTGAGACAGCTGTGTAACTGGACCAGACTGCATCAGCTGAACAGGCAACTGAGGGGGCGGAACTGATGTCATCCCGCCACCAGGTGGCACAGGCAAAGCCACTGAAACTGGTGCAAGGGTATAGGTGGGTATCCCATTAACTTGCTTGCCAGTTGGAATTAGCTGTCTAAGTATAGGACCTGCAGTAATTAAAGTAGCATTCTGAGAAACTCCAGGTCTGACAGGCTGAGTCACAGGAAGGCCCCCTGGTGCAACAGGCTGATTAAACTGTAGAATCCCAGGTCCAACCGATGGGTTTACAGGAAGAACCCCTGAAGTAACTGGATTAAACTGAAGGACTCCCGATGCAAGTGTCTGGGTCATTGGGAGAACCCCTGTAGCATTGGGCCGGTTCAAACTTCCAACAGGCCGATTTAGAGCAAGCACCCCAGGTGAAGAAGGCCTGACTGGAATAGCACCAGCTCCAATCGGTCGATTCAGTGTTCCAGCAGGTTGCGTCCGAGGAACAGTCCCTGGCACAACTGGACCAGTGATGGTCCTAAGTGACTGATTAACAGAAAGCAAGGTAGGTCTGACTGGCCGATTGAATGAGAGGACACCTGGAGGAACAGCTCTACCTATAGCTCCAGCAGGCTGATTTAGGCAGAGAACCCCAGGCCGCACAGGCTGTTTTAAGGGAAGCCTGTGGGAAACAAAGACAGGTTGGGAAACTGCAGACTGAAGAGCTGCATTATTCTGACCTCCTGGGCGAGGACCAGACATAAGTGTAATATGTGACTGGGCAATTGAAATGGATGGTGATGTACATGTCAGACTACTGGAGGCACTTGAAACACTCAGTTGTCCAACTGTGTTTTGAATGGCTTTTGCTGGCACCAGACTTTGATTCTGGTTAACTGCTGGGAGGGATGCAGAAGAAGCTGTGCCCACCGATGAAGTGGTAGGTATCAGTGGTGGTGTGGCTCCGAGCATGGAGGGCTTGGGAGCAATGTTGACTATCTGCAGTGACTTTGCTTGTCCTGGTTTCTTAGGTTGTACTGAAATGACAGGCCTCAATGTATTCTCCAGGTCTTTGTGTACTTCAGATGTCAAGACGTGATATATTAAAGAATCCCGACTGTTTGCAAAAGCATTGCATTTTTTACAGTAATGATCAGTAAAATTCTCTTCACTGTCATCAGGTCTCTCTTCAAAGTATGTGCTTATTAGGTTTTGGAAGTGCGTTACTAATACATGCTTCTTTGTATTGTAGTACAGAGTGTCTGTAAACTGACATTTCTGGCATACAAAGTTTACTGTATCACTCCGGAATTGTCTCATGCCACCACTTACATTATAGTTTTGTATTTTTTTCTTGGAGTGAAACATTCTGAGGTGTTTCCCCACTATTTTGGAATGAGAAGCAAATGAACATTCCGGGCAAGGAACAACTAATTCTTGGTCCATTTCATCTTCATGGTAACGGTTCAAGTGATTTTTGAAAGAAGAAAGAAATTTTGAGGAGAACTTGCACTGGCTACAGCAATATGGATTTGTTCTGTATCTCTACAAAACAAGAACAAAAGGAGACAGTTACTTCAGCAGGTATCTAGGAAATACATGTTTATATCAGCTGTTGAATGAGCATATAGAAGTAATGACAGGTACTTTTTTCTTGCCAGCTGGATATAAAAGTTTCTTTAAGAGACCAAAATTTTGTTCAACTGACACAATGAAATCCTTTTCTGTACAGTTTTCTGATTAATAATATGCTGTATAACAACCCAAACAGAAATGAGCTACAACTTTTTTGTATGTTACTGGCACTACTGAGAATCAGTAAAAGCAGCAATGTGTGTAGGTTACAGCTTCTGCCAATAGTTGTAGCTAGCTATGCCATTACTCACTGAAAATTCAACATGGCTTAATATGCAGCTGAAGAATATACATACCTTTCTTTTAGTGACTGACTCCCAATGAGACACATCATTCCATGAAGTGTTGCAGAAATACTTTTCTCCTGGGTCAAAACTTTTCAAAGTCTAAAAGAACACAAATATTTTTAAAAACACATAATTAAAAGGAAGTCCCTTTTCATGCAGCTATTTCAAAACCAGATTTTAATTATGTTGATATAAACTGAATTCAAATAAAAAATGAAAAAAGCTTGTCAGATATAACATTTTACACTTTCACGCAAGAAATTATATCTAAAAACACAAAGAAACCAACCATCAGCATGATGACACTATTTCACTAGTTCAGGTCCTCTTCCACCTTCAAAAAGGAGTTTAGTGTGTAAGTTGCACATACACTTTTATCTGAGATGCATATTACTTTTCAAGAATGATATCAAGATACATACAATCCCAAGTCCCATGCCCTTACCATACAGATTCCCAAAGCCAACTGTCAACTCACAAACTAATAAGAATTTATATCACAGATGTGCTTGTATTGAAGAATGTGTGACAAGATTTTTTTTTCTCACCACAGGTTTAAAGCATAAAAGACAGGACCACTACCCTACATTAGCTACTTATTAAATTGCTTGTCTGTACTAGTAATCCACAGCAGGAGATACGGAAGGGAGAAAGGGTTTCCCCAAGTTTAAAAGAAACAAGAGTCATGAGATGTTCTAACAGCTCTTTTTCCCTCCTTTTTCTCCAAGATGCTCAGATTAAGATTTCTAAACACTGTTTATATATGTTGGAAAATACAAATATCCACAGCCCATGTGTGGGCTAACATAGCAGCATCTAAATTGAAGTAACAACAAACAAACAGAGGGAGGGGCTGTAGCAAGAAACTATAGTCATCTCTGAATGTATAGGGCTGCACATGTATCTTGTGTAACGAGTGGGCTGATGGTGTTTATATGATTAAGTCTGATTTTAAAATAGAAACTTTTTTATTTTATAAACTACTGTCATTACTTAGCACCATGTCCAAACCATTCCAGTGTGTCACGTTTATACTATTAACTCGGTTGCTCATTTTGGTTGATAGAATCTACATTTACAAACTTGATGGTCAGCACCAAAACAGCTAGGATCTATTTAAGAATTAGTCATATTAAGCATGTTGTCTACTAAAATTTCAACAGTTACCTGGAACCCTATGCCAAAGATGAAATGATTGTAACTGAAGTATCAATTTTGTTTTTTTTATCCTTTTGATTGAATCTGCAAACCAAACAAAATCATCTTTTATTTCAGATATATTTATATGACCAGACTAACATTATTTTGACAGGAAAGCTGTACACTGTGTAGCTATTTCACCTTGATAATAAATTAAAAAGAATAGAAGAGCCTGCTGCATCCTTCTGGGCAAACTAAGTCCTTCCCTTATTTTATTCATGCTTATTTCAAGAAAAAAGATTAATGAAATGAATCAGGTAATGTTATACATCTCGTTTAGTGATCAGATTGAATGCTGCAGAACAACAAGATATAAATATATTAAAGAGATAAATGACCAAAGTGTTTCAATTTGAAAACACCACTTCATTTATTTGAGTAACAGTGTGCTACAGTGGTTGACTGAGCATCTGGAAGATAATGAAGTTCACTGGGTGACTATGTGCCAGGCACTCACTCTTAGCCTAACTCACCTCACCAGCTTGTTGTTGTGATGATAAAACATGGGGTGGTGGTGGACTGTGTAAGCTGCCTTCTTCACAAGAGGAAAAAATGTGGGCTATAAATGCAATAGAACAGCAATAGTTCTTATCTCTCTCCAGAGATTCAACATTCTATTGCAGAATGCAGCTGAATCATATAAAAGAAACAAAATCACAGACTTAATCACTCAATGAAAAACAAATTCAAACTAAATTTAGGATTCACAAAATGAGCTTTGAGAAGATCTCATGGCCTTCTATGCATGAGCAATTCCACTGGAATGTGTTCCCTGCAGCCTTTTCCAGGTATATTTTCATAAAGAGTCTAGGATCCTACTTTCTAAGATCTCCAACTATTATTTTGACATTATTTTTCCACATTTATATGAGACAGATTTGTTAAAAAAAAAAAACCCCACAAGCATCAAATAACTACAAAGATAATTCTTCTTTACCTGAAGTAACTCCTGGCAGCTATCACGGCCAATATCCACCAGTATGCCCTTCACTTTTTTCCGAGCTCTCCTTATGTTATCAAGATTTTGCACAGGAATTTGAAACATGTTGAACTTTGCCTAAAAGACAGAAAGTGACACAACATGTATACAGAACTATAGTTAACTTTTTGTTAAAATGACTTCTTTAAAAGGGGATTTATGCATTAAAGAAGACATCACTTTGACCTTCTTCTTAGTGCTCATTTTAAAAAATACGCATACTTATAGGCGATGGGTCACTGTACACTTTCTGTTGCAAACTGTTATGTATAGTTATATTTACCACAGTATTAATCAAACTCTGATGGAAAGCATCTTGAAATCTGGACTGGATCCAAGATTTGAGGTTTTAAAAATAATTACAACTCGACCTCTACAAAAATGCTAAAGTTTAAGTTCTTTATTGCTATAAGCGGGGAAAGGTACTATTTGGTAATTACAATATTAAGAAGGGAACTCCAATATGAAAATGTTTTGCAAGCAGAGAATACTATGAACAGCACAATTTTTGACTCCAGCATCTATTTGGCAGAGTTACTCAAAGGCAAGATGAAGGTGCTGTTCAATAGACAGATCAACCCATAATTGGAAGTACAGCCTATTATGGATGGGGTGCACTCCCTGTCAGGCTAAGTCATGCAGCTTGGGAAAGCTCTTGGTCTAGCACTGTTCCTGGATGGTCAAGTGGCAAAAATGGCCAGGGGTGCCTTTGCTCAGCTTCAGCTGGTGCATCACTTACTTCCCTCTCTAGAGAACAAATCTTACTACAATAACCCATGCCTGATTCCCTCGATGTCTAGATTACTCTAGCATGAATTCCCTCACCCCACCCCAGTCAGGGCAATGTAAGGGAACAGGGTTGGGGATCACAAGCTAGTCAAGCTCAGAGCAGAGGACAGGCCCATCTTTTATTCATCTTGCAGCCAGAGAGGGTTCTCAATTTATCTATGTGGTAAGCTGTCCAGAGATGCAAGTAATTGGACGGCATGCAAATTTTATACATAAATTAATCTATAGCCCATTCATCCCATACTTTCTCACATGCACACAGCCTCCCCCC